TCAGTGATACAGGTAAACTACCAGCTTTTGGAAGAAGGAACACAAAGGATGTTTTTATCATTAAACATTTATCATCATATTGTAATATTCTTTTGATAACATGTATAACGCAACAATATACGTTTTCATTTTATATATATGATGGTTGTGTTACTTTCTTTACAATATTCAATCGTTGTGATACTACGTGAAGTCATCCACCCTCGAATGTTTCCGCCATTCTGGTTTGGGGGTGTGACAGCTTTTTGCAAAGTTCTCCAAATGCAACTTTTGGATACGGGAAGTCCAATTCTTGGATCATGTTGTTAACCAAGAAGGAATAATGGTTGACCCCGCCAAGATCGAAGCTGTAATGAAGTGGGAACGTCCGAAGAATCCCACGGAGATTCGAAGCTTTCTAGGATTAGCCGGATATTACCGACGATTTATCCAAGGCTTTTCTTTGATAGCTGCTCCATTAACATCTTTGACCCATAAAGGAGCTACGTATACATGGAGTGAGAAACACGATGAGGCGTTCGAGAAGCTAAAGAAGAAGTTATGTGAAGCACCAATACTTTCTCTACCCGATGGAGTTGAAGATTTCGCAGTTTATAGTGATGCATCTGGAGTCGGGTTGGGTTGTGTTCTGACCCAAAGAGAAAAGGTGATAGCATACGCATCTCGACAATTGAAAGAGCACGAAAAGAACTACCCCACTCATGATCTGGAGTTGGCAGCGGTAGTATTTGCCTTAAAGATATGGAGGCATTACCTCTACGGCACGAAGTGCAAGCTCTTCACTGATCATAAGAGTCTCCAGTATCTCTTTAATCAGAAGGAGTTGAACATGATGCAACGACGCTGGCTAGAACTTCTCAAGGACTACGACTGTGAGATACTTTACCACCCAGGTAAAGCAAATATTGTTGCTGATGCTCTCAGTCGGAAAGTCAATCTTGAAAGAAAAAGGCCAAGAGCGTTAAGGATTGAAGTCGTCTCGACGATTGTGGAAAGTATCAGGAAAGCTCAAGAAGAAGCCTTAGAAAAGAATGACCGAAAGGAAGAACGTTTGGGAAAAACGTTAGTGTTCGGTACAAACAGTCGAGGACTGAAGGTATTCCAAGATCGAATTTGGGTACCTAAGACGGGAGGAATAAGAGATCTTCTAATGGAAGAAGCACACAAGACCATGTACTCGATTCATCCCGGTAGCACTAAAATGTATAGGGACCTAAAACCCTACTACTGGTGGCCGACGATGAAGCTCGATGTTGCGAAGTATGTGGCTGAGTGCCTAACATGTACAAGGGTCAAGGCACAACATCAGAAACCATATGGGAGTTTAGAACCTTTACCTGTACCCATGGGTAAATGGGAAGACATCACCATGGATTTTGTGACTAAACTGCCCAAAACAAAGAACGGACACGACATGATTTGGGTAGTCGTGGATCGTTTCACCAAGAGTGCACACTTCATAGCAGCCAACGAGAAGTGGTCTATGGATAAGCTCGCAAATGCTTACATGAAGGAAATTGTAAGACTTCACGGTGTCCCTCTTAAGATTGTTTCAGATCGTGATAGTCGTTTCACGTCGAGGTTTTGGAGGAGTCTACAAGAGGAGTTGGGTACAAAGTTGTGTTTAAGTACTGCTTACCATCCGCAAACTGATGGTCAAAGTGAAAGAACGATTCAGACGTTGGAAGATATGCTAAGAGCATGTACCCTCGAATTCCAAGGGAATTGGGACGAACACTTACCTCTAGTAGAATTTTCCTACAATAATAGTTTTCACTTGAGCATCAAGATGGCACCTTATCAAGCCTTGTATGGACAGAAGTTTCGTACGCCGTCTTGTTGGCTTGAAGCCGGAGAGAAGCAGTTTATGGGCCCCGATATGGTCCATGAGACTGCTGAGAAATTGAAGGTGATTAGGGAAAAATGTTAGCAGCTCAGGATCGTCAGAAGAGCTATGCTGACAAGAAAAGACGACCGATAACCTTCGAAGTTGGGGATTCTGTTTTACTTAAAGTCTCACCGTGGAAGGGACTTATACGATTTGGGAAACGAGGAAAGTTGAATCCAAGGTTTATTGGACCGTTCAAAGTTCTTCAGAGGATTGGGAACCAAGCTTACAAGCTGGAATTGCCCGAAGAACTCAATGGTATTCATAACACCTTCCATGTGTGTTATTTGAGGAAATTCATGGGAGATGTTCCCGACATAATTCCAATCTCAGATTTAAGGATGGATGAAAATAAACGGCTGATTGAAGAGCCCGAGGCAATTGTTGACCGTAAGACTAAGAAGTTACGACGCAAGATGGTCGACTTAGTGCTAGTCCAATGGAAACATTCGAATGGGCTGAATCTCACTTGGAAAACAGAGGATGACATGATGAGTCGTTATCCACATCTGTTTGCTGATGCATGATTCCGGGACAAAATCATCCTAAGGGGGAGAGAATTGTAACGCCCAGGTTTTCAGGGCTAAGCATTTTTGTCAATGTAATAGTCTAGGTCAACTATTGTAACTCTTTTTGAAGTAATAAATATGAAATATTTGAGTATTATGTGAGTTATGTGTGTTTATGTGTTTATTATTTAATTATAAATGTATAATTAATAAAGAATAAAAATGAGCGTCAAAATTAAAGTGTGAGATAATCCCGATATCTCTACATAAAGTTGTAGAATATGTCTCAAGGTTTCCGTACATATAAAGAATGCCGAAATCCGAGCTATAACGAAGAAGTTATGACCCGCCGAAGTTTACGGCAAAACCGGCACGACACCGGAAGACATAAAATAGTAAATTTACGATAGAAGACTTTTTAGCCTTAGAAATCTAAACAAAAGTCGTAGAATATGTTAAAGTAAGAACATCGATAAAAAGAACGCCCAAATCTGACTTCGTATGAAGAAGTTACGATTTTTCGAAGTTTCGGACTAGCAGTGTACAGCTCGAAATTCAAATGTTTGATCGAGCGGTTTTTAGCCGACACGACCTAAACGAGAATCGAAGATCTCTTTAAGAGTAACGTAACGAGAAAAAGATGGGCGAAAACGGATATCGGATGAAGAAGTTATGAGGATTTAACAGACCAATCCTATCCCGACCCGTTGATAATATAAAATTTAAAATCGAGTCAAAATTAGCCAACAAAGTCTAAACGAAAGTTGTAGAGTATGTTCCCACCTTCGCGTGGATATAAAGAACGTCAAAAACGGAGCTCGTATGCGAAAGTTACGAATTTTTGAAGTTAGAACTCGAAAATGCGAAAACTGTTGCGAAGCTGATGACGTGGTCGCTTCTGAACCGTTGCTTGCTGACCAAGGCTTCACTCCGGATCGCGCCACGACGACTCGCATTACGCCCCGCGTACGAGGTCCGGTACGCCCCGCGTACCTTCGCTTCCCATCCGACCAGTGTGCGAAACAGCTGGCTGCGAGCTGGCATCCTCATCCGCGAGAACGCGCCGCGTAGCCGAGGATTACGCCCCGCGTAGTCCGAAGCTCGCAGGCTATAAAAAGGGGCGAGGGTCTCCGGATTTTTCACACCATTTCTCATTCTCTCTCTAAAATCTTTCTCTCTCTAGGGTTTTGAACCCTCCCTAAAGTCTAGGTGAACCCCTAGCACCCTAAGGAATCCCCGAGGCTTCCAGAGTCCCGAGAAAAAGGAGTTTTTCGGTTTCGAAACACTGCTCCAATTAAGTCCCGGTTTTCGATAAAATTCGTTGTAAGTATGCTACGCTTACGCAATTTTTAATATAGCTTTCAAATAATTATAGGAATGTTATTAGGTCCTTAAAATAATTATTTGGGCTATTATTATGAGATATATCGAGTATTATTAATGCTTAATAATACTCAGACTAATTAATCTGTCGCGGTTATCATTAAACTAAACCCTAGTAGTATCGATACTAGGTTTTATCGAAGGAATATCATTTTGAGAGTATCAAAGCGCTGTCCGAGTGCTGAGTCACCACCTAATCAGGTGAGTGCATAGTTACTTTCAACTTACACATAGATATGAAGTATTTAATATAAATTACGTGCTATGTGTGCATATTATCTGAATACTTGCTATCTATGCTGGATGAACGTTTTATACATGTTTTCAAAGATTTAAACTGCATATGTATTTTATATCTACAAAATGTGTTGGGTAAAACATGGGTAGATGTAATAGTTGCTGTGTGACAAAATAAAATAATGAGAGGCCTCGTTATAGATGTTATTGATGATCCAGTCATCTAGCGGAGTATAGATGACGACCACGGACTATTCTAGACAGTCCAGTGGAACACTAGCAGGCTCGCAACCTGTAGGTGTTTATTTGAACTGTGTGTTTATTTGAACTGTGTGCTCACCAGATGTACTCCATCCCCCACATGGTTGCCTATTAGGACATTTATTGCTGAGGAATCCCCTTAGCAGTAGTGTCCATCCCGATGATGATCCTTAGGCTAGGTCCCTTATGATAGGTGTTTAGGGACGTAAAGTGAGGATAACGGGAACGGGTAATCGGGTTATTATTGATTGATGAAACTAATAAACTTATTTATTGTGGGTTGAAAACCCTATGTGCTCACCAGGCTCCCAAGCCTGACCCACTCAGTTTTATGCATTACAGGTAGTGGCGCATGAGCATAGGTGTGATGTTTTGGACGAGGGATTACGGATATAGGCCTATAGATATGAAATAATGTAGTAAGGCTTATATTGTACTGTTTATACTTTTGATCTGTACGAACATGACATCCCGAGTCTTTTAATGATTACATTTCTATGGAAATGCTTTTGATAAATCTTTATCATATTATTGTTTTGGGACAAATTCCGCAAACCTTTTATTAAAAGATAACTCTGATTTTGAAATAAAGTATAAACAAAACCGGTCTTTTCTGGCCGTGATTTTGGGGATGTCACAGCATCTGTTCACATCAGATGTACTAACTTGAGAAGATGAGCAAGTTCTGCTTTAAGATTCGTTTCAAGAGAACAAATCATCTTTCACATTGACTCCTGAGAAATAGAAGATGAGTGAGAAAGATTAATCTTCGACATTGATTCCTTCAAGCTTTCCAAAAACTCCTCCATCTTAGCAAACAATTTCGAATATGTTTCTGTCATGGCATCGAGCTTGGTAGAAAAAAAAGTGTAATACTCCACTAGCTTCTTTATCGCATCAACAATAATGTCTACCTTGCCATGAAGACTCGAATAGTTTTGTTCAATCTTAGCCACCTCCTTCGACATTTCAAATTTGAGTGCCTCCACTTTTAGATTGACAGACTCCTCCACTTTCTTAATTTCCTCAACAAAAAGGATATGATGTTCTTTGGAAACATCACGACGCTTGGTCACCTCAAATTGAAATTTGCAGCATGATGCTTTAAAATCTCATCATGTTTCTTCTGAATCTGTTCCATAGCCAACTTTAAACGACTCTCTTGTGATTTAAGCATAACATCCACCTAATTCCCAGACATAGAACATCAACCCCCTATATCTCCCTAAAACCAAATTCAGCTTACGATTCATAATTTTAAACTGCTTCCCTGACATAAGCATATGATTTAGAATGTTATCTTCTTAATGATCAAATTGAATCTCAGCAAATGAGATCATCACATCATCATGATCTTGATCTTCTTCTTGAACAGACTTTTCTCCTTTGGTGAATTGAACAGGGAAAACTCATGTAATAGTTTGATTCATGATGTTTCAAAAAGTGGGTGAAATGGTAGAAACAGGTAATGAAGGTGGAATGGGAGAAATGAATGGTGGTAAGGAAGTTGAAGTATCGATATGGGAAGTTTCGATGGTATAAAATAAAATGAGTGTGGTAGAATATATGAGGTTTCAACGGAAGATTTACCTGGAGCTTCATTATTCGTCATCCCTAAACACTTATTGACATTTGTGTCCATATTAGATATGTTCACAGTGATACCTATGGTTCGAACATCCTCTGAAATAGATTCAGTTGTCGATACCTCGGGTGGTATGACAATTGTCTTTGCAGGGACGGTAGAAGGTGGGGCTTCACCTAAATTATTGGTTGTATCCGTATGAGATACGTAGATAGTGCCACTAAGACTTCCAGTCTCCTCAAAGGTCAACTTAATCGAAGAGTCCATTTGCGGTTTCTAGAACCCCAATCCAATATCTTGACCAATTGGAGATCTATCACTTTCAATTTCAAAATATGTTTCAACAACAACCTCATCAAGAGGATCAGCCAACTGCTTCTTCTTCTTTTTAATCTTTTTAACAACATCTTGAGCTTTTCGTTTCTTGGATGCTGGTGAGATTGAAAATTGAACATCACGAATTCGTACACCCCTTCTATTAAGTTGGGGTTTGTAAATTTTTCTGATCTTCAAAAAAGAACCTTCTTTTGGTGAAGACAATGGTTCAGCAGAAACTTCTTCAACCATCGATGGTTCAGGAGAGTGTCGAGGACGATGAGCAGGCTTCTTTGTTCTTTTCAGAATACCTGTCTTCGAAGGAACAATCTCCTTTTGAACTTCTTGGACTACAGGTTCTGCAAATGGTTTTGTTACCTCTTTCTCAATGTGCACAGGAACTGACTTAGTTTGTTCTGCCTTCTTTGGTTTCTTGGAAACTTTTACAACCTTCAAAGTGATTTCTATCTCTTTTGGCAAAAAAAAAATCCCTACTTGAACATCTAGGATGATCGTTGACAAATAATTAACTATAATTGGAGCAGGATCGACTTTTCGTAACATGGCATATGGAATTCGAGCCACATTAGGAAACAAAGCAGGATCATCAACAACAATATTTGGATGTTGATATAGAAAACTCTACCTTTGCATCTTTGGTGGGTACCAAAATTCCCTCTGTCTTATAAACATCCCTTAAAATAGACTCCAATACCTCACACATGAAACTCCATTCGTCACATTTGTATGAGAAATCCCATTGCCAAAATCTTCCCACAACTTACTGGCATAGTCAAAATTCAGATCATAATACATACCTGCAATCAAAGCATCAATTCAAAATTTTCTTTATCAAGCCCTGCACTTCGACTAGTTAAACAATGGAGGAAAATCCCAAACAAGAAATTCCATACACAAGGCAAAGCTTTCTTGTGAAAATGACTGATTCCTGTGAGTGGTGGTTGATTACCCATCTCATTAAATATCAACACAACCTATTCAATCGAAACTTCATATAAAGGAAATGAATTTGGAAGCTTCATTATCTGTGCAAACTGCTTCTTAGTAATCTTCTACTTCTTGTCATTATTTAATATAAAAGTCACCATTTTGGTTGTCTTGTTGAACATAGCCTATGAACCCACCATGGATAACCAAGTCATGGGTACTGATAATGAAGAAGACATAACCGTTGAGATAACAAAGTAATTGCGAGAATCAATCAACATCTGTAATTGTTCAGGATACTTCGAAACATCTGGTTGAATATTGAAGTTGGAACTTTGAATCTTCATCAGCAGGTGAGATGTTGCTTAGTTAGTAGTGGTGTTTGATGGATCAATGTGAACAGTTGGTGACACCATTGTTAGTGTTTTTGAGAATTTTTTTGAAGAGATGAATATTAGAAAATAAGATTTAGGGAAAGATTAGACCAGATTGCGTAAAGTCTTAAATTTAGTCCACCAAATTCCTTTTATATCAACTTAGAACATGAATTTGAATCATTCACCAATAAAGTTCTGCCACGTGTTGTCTTGGATAGTGGGACAATTTCTGGAAAAGTCGCCACGTCTGAAAAAGTAATGAGCACTTTTCCCTAGAAAACCGTGAAAGAACTGAACCGTCAAATTCACCGAACGTTTAGTTTGCCCTAAGAAGATAAGAACTATCACTTGAACTTCATTATGACATTAGAAAGCATTGTCAACAAAGTAACACAATGACCATGACTTCGAGGTAGTGCTCATTCGCTTTTAGGATTGGAAAATGAAATCATAGCCAGACTTGCTAAATCTAGGTTTGAGTTGGTATTACCCAAGACCTCGAGGATTTTATGCAAATGTGTGCCAAAGAAATAGCGGAAACCAAATTTTAAAAAAATGTGCGTATAGTGAAATCATATAGCAGTCGATGTAAAAGCAGTAGGATCCCAGGAGAAGATCACTTCGGTCGAAATCAAGAGAGATATAAAACTGTTTGTGTGGTATCCTATAAAGTACAGTCAAATATGCGTGAATGAGTATCTAAGGGATTCTTTTTGCATAGGCTTCGAAGGTAAGCTCAATTTTATCCAAAACCACAACTTAACATAAGTGTGAGTAAAATGAACAAAATTACTTGTATGACTGATGTAGGAAGGAACAAATGATGTTAATAAAATATTTTAAATTGACGAGGGTTCGAATTGATATTCAGACTAAAACCATATTCCAAGAAAAATAAGAGCTAGATCTTGTTGGGCAAAAATGTCTTGGGGAAAGAAAATTTTGTCAATACCACGCATAACGAAAGGAATATGATTTTGAATATCGAATTATGGTACATAAACAAATGTTTCATTAAGATGTTGAACATAAAGTTCACCGTCAATTCCATAAGAGTTAGGATTGTTGGGTTTCACCTTCATCACGGAAAAATGAATCGGGATCATAAACATAGACCTGTGCAATATCTACATTCTGGTTGGTTTCTACCAGAGATGTCGAGGATATGCAAGTGAGGTGTTTGATTCGTGAAGAACAATTTTTGGTGAAAAATATTGTTTAAGAAAAACATTATGTACCTCTATATGGACATAGCAGAAATCTCTTTACTCAAAATGAAGTGAAAGGTAGCTCGTCGACTAATGTGAATATTGCTTGATTTGGAAGGAACCCTCGTAATGAGTGATCAATTAAGGCTTCGAAATACGTTGAATCTGTAAGGCTTATCGTCAACATACAATAGTATGCTTCTAGGGACACCTAACTAGAGTAATAATTCGAAATTGTACTTGTACCACTTTTGAATATATTCCATTAAGCATTTGCCACCACAATATGTTGAGTGAAATAGTCACTGAAAAATATTAAAAACACAAAACAAAACGAAGAAAATATTCTAGGATTTTTGCTTTTGAAAATTAAAGACAAAAATGTTGAGTGAAATAGTCAGTGAAAAATACTAAACACACAAAACAAAATGATGAAAATATTTTACGATTTTTGTTTTTGAAAATTAAAGACAAAAATAAGAAAATCTTTTTGGAGTTTTTGTTTTTGAAATTTAAAGGCAAAAATAAGAAAATCTTTTTGATATTTTTATTTTTGAAATATAAAGAGAAAAATAAGAAAATCTTTTTGATATTTTTATTTTTGAAATGTAAAGACAAAAATAAGAAAATCTTTTTGGTATTTTTGTTTTATAAAACGGGAATCAAAAACTGTAAAAGGGTACTGAAAATTCGATGTAAGAAGCATCAACTTCCAGATAGTGTACATTGAACATGAATTCTTTTCAGACAACGAAGGTTGATTTGAACCATTCAGAGACATTTCGAATTAGAAGTTGGTCTAACGTTGAATGGTGAGTGGTAACTTTTGAACCCGCCAGCAGTACTTCGATGTCTTGTTATTTCACTGTGAAGATGAACATGGAATGGAACTTGCATCGATCATTCCAAGATCATTTAAGATCCTTAGAAATGATTTCTCATCCAAAGATTTAGTAAAGATGTCTGCAAGTTGATTTGTTGTCTTGACAAAATGACATCGATATTTCCATCCTCCACATGATCCTTGATAAAATGGTATCAAACTGCGATGTGCTTTGTCGTTGAATGTTGCATCGGATTATGCCAGATGCATATGGAACTATGTGAATCATAATATAAAGGTATCTTCTTCATATTGATTGCGTAATCACGAAGTTGGCTTTGAATCCATATGAGCTGAGAAGTGCAAGCTGTAGCAGCAATATATTCTACTTCTGTTGTGGAAATTGAAGCACAAGTTTGTTTCTTTGATTGCCAGCTAACAAGCTTCTCATCCAAAAATTAACATCCACTAGTAGTGCTTTTTCTGTCAAGTTGACACCCACCAAGGTCTGCATCAGAAAACCCCTGTATGAAAAATCTAGTCTTTGAAGGGTACCACAAACCCAATGACACAATTCCTTTGAGATATCGAAAGATATGCTTGACCGCTGTTAGATGGGGTTCTCTGGGATTTGATTCATACCTTGCATAATTGCAAACAGCGAACATAATATCAGGTCTGCTAGCAGTTAAATATAGTAAAGAACCTATCATGCTCATATATAATATTAGATCAACAACATGCTTATCCAACAAAGGTCCTAAGCACGTGCTAATTGCCATTAGTACTTTCAATTTTGAACTATTCTCCACGCCAAATTTCTCAAGTAGGTTACGAGATTACTTCTCCTAATTTATGAAAATTCCATCCCTACTTTGACGAATATTCAACCGAGATAATTATTTATCTTACCCATCATACTCATTTTGAATTTCCTTTCCATCATTATTCTCAAATTCCCTAGACAACGAAGGGTCTGTTGAGCCAAAAATAATATCATCTATATAAATTTGAACTAGCATCAGATGATCCCTACGTTCTTTTGAAATGAAGTAGAATCAAGGAATCCTTGTTTAAATTTAGAGATTTCAAGAAATTGGTAAGAGTTGTATACCCGGCTCGAGGTGCTTGTTATAATCCACAAATAGCTTTATCGAGAATATAACAATGATCAGGGAATTTATCATTTACAGAACCTGGTGGTTGTTCGACGTAAATAGTTTCTTCAAGGACTTTATTGAGAAAATCACACTTGACATCCATTTCATATACATCAAATTCCTTGTGGGCTGCATATGCAAGAAATATTCGAATAGCCTCGAGTCTCATGATAGGGGAAAAGGTTTCATCATAGTCAATACCTTCTTGTTGAGAATTTCCTTTTACAACCCTTCTTTCTTTATTCTGAACAACATTACCTTCTTTGTTAGTTTTATTTTAAAGATTCATTTTAAGCCAATGACCGAATAATCATCAGGTTTTGTAACTAGTCTCCAAACTTTATGGCGTTCAAATTCAGCAAGTTTAGATTGCATGGCAACAATCCAATCAGGTTCATCCAATACAACCTTAACTGTTTTCAGTTCCATTTTTTAAATGAATACATTAAACATACAAAATTCTTAGTGAACATTCAGTACATCATTTTAGCTCGAATTTGTGCCCTTGTAATAACTCTAGCTTGAGGATCACCAAGAACTTGTTCTTTAGGATTATTTCATGTCCATCTTTCCATCGGTGGATATGCAGGATCGAAATCCAAATGTGTATATGTGTATACTTCATTTGATTCTGAACCTTCACTTGCATTAGAGACATTATCAGAAACATCATGAAAATTATTAGAAATTTTATGCTCCCCCTAATATCAACATTATGTCTTGATCCACTTAGCTACCCCTTGACTTATTAATTTGTATGATGATGCTTCCCTGCGACATTTGCATTTTCTTTTCCATGCTCCCCCTCAAATTGAGTTTCATTTCTATCATGATCCCCCTCGACAATAGACTCATGAATATTATCTTGTGAAATCGAACGCAAGTGCTCCCCCTCCACTTAACTATCCTGCAAAACAGGTAGACGTTCAACATGTACTTGTGATGTTGAGGTAGAGTTAGAATCATCTTCTTCCATAGTCACTGTCGAATCATCAGAATACTTTGATGCTTCAGGAATCTGATTATCTTTAGCATGAACTTCAACATCAATTGCTCTGTCTGGATCAACAAAACTTAGTTCATAATCAATATCGAAATAATTAACAATTGTTGACTCATCATTTGTTTCTAAAGTTTTGGTTTTTGTGCTAAGGTATGTTCGACACATTTAATATGATAATCATCGAAGGTAAGATTGAATGTTTCCTCAATCTTTCTTGTACGCTTATTCAACACCTGATATGCTACTAAAATGTGTGAGTATCCCAACAAAATCCCTTCATTAGCTTTGGACTGAAATTTCGAAAGGTTATCTTTGAGAGCTATGATGAATCACATGCAACCAAAAACTTGGAAATTTTCACATTAGGTTTTCGGTTGTTAATTATTTCATAAGTAGTGATATTAAAGTGATGATGAATGAACGATCTGTTTTGCGTGAAACATGATGTCGAGTCTGCTTCTGCCAAGAGATACTGACGCAAGTTCGCATAGGTCAGCATTGTCCTTGTAGCTTCGCATAGAGATTTCTTTCTCCTTTAAACAATACTATTTTCTTACATTGTGTAAGGAGATGAAAAATTATGTGTAATCCATAGTTCACCCAAAAATAAATCAAGAACTTGATTCTTGAATTATGAGCCATTATCACTTTTGATTTTTCTGAATTTCTTTCTCAGACTGAGTTCGATGTGTTTGATAAATCTATCATCACTTGAGTAGTTTTAGCCTTCTAAAAAAGAAAGAAAACCTAAGTAAACCTTGAAAAATCATCAACAA